GCCACTTGAGCTGATTCTGAGGACAGTCTTCTTGCTCCTGCTGTCACGGTCAGACCTCATTATTTTTCAGAACAGTTCTTAAACAACTGATTTGAGCTCTGGCAGCGTTATGATGAGAAAGGAAGCAATAGAACAGGGGAGTCCTATTTCTCCCACCCACCAGCTCTCTTCACCACATTCCTTCCCTAGCAACAGCTCCTTTCTCAACTCTTGGGGCCCACATCTTCTGTCCCACCTACACCAGCAGTAGGAAAATATGGGGGCGAGAGGGCTGGGGTGCCCTGAGGTGCAGGAGGTGGAATGGGGCAAGAACTTCAGAGGGAGACTGATGAAAGTGAGAACTAGGCTCCAAGCTAGTCTCAGGTTAGAAAGGCAGGTGGGGGAAGGGGATGAGTTGGTGGGAGCAAACAAAATGGTTCGGAAAAGGTTTATCAACTCAGGGGAACGACATGTAGCTTATTATGAGGCTGCTGTTTGCACAGCCCACTGTGGTAGATAGATTGTAGCCTTGTGAAAAGAAACGTCGATGCATATTCAGTCCCTGAATTGTAGAAATTGAAGGTGAGAAGGGTCATGCTTCCCAACTCCGATTATTAGGATCATTTAAAAAAAAATACGGATGCCTGCTCAGGTAACAACATTCCTGGGCATGTAATTGGGGTGTGGGGCAACACCTATACATCCATCCGTATTTTAAAACCTTAACAGTTCTAATGTTCAGCCGGAGTTGAGACCCACTGAAGGGCAGACCGCCTTGGAGTACGGATGTCCCTTTTTTTTTTTTTTCGTGGAGCTAGGACTTGAGCTCCATGCTCACTTGAAAGCCAATACATTTATCCATCTTTATTTTTAAAAAGCTTCTGGTGAGGATTTGCCCCCTTTAGCTCTTGTCAATGTTGGAATTCACCTCACCTCTCACTCGGTGTCAGAGAACATTCCCCCAGGATCCCGGAGACCAACCAAGGTCCTTCCTCTCTACCTTCCTGTGTAAGAAAGACGGTACCTGTATACACTTTCCGTCCCAGGGTTTTGTTTGTTTTTTTAATCTTAAGAATCTGCCTTTAAGAGATACAAGAAGGTAGGACAAACAGCTCACTTGCATTTGCCCTCTAATCTTCTCCATATTCACGTCAAACATTGATTTTGATTGAACTCAACTTTCAAGAAAACGTTAGGGAGAGAGGGTGGGGTCAGGTCAGGAAGGGGGAGGATCTTAGGTGCAGGTTTCTGGGCTGAGCTCCTAGGTGGGAACCTCAGACTTCTTTCGCACCAGCTGGTGGAGCCGTTGCCTCCTCTCTTGCTGCTGCTTTCTGGATTCGCTGCCCAGCTGCCAGTCCAGCCTTTGTTGTCCCTGAGCTGTCCACCCTTCTCACCCGGATCTGCCAGCCCTGGTCCATCAGCACACAGACTCTAATTTGGAATGTCATCCTGTCATAGTCATAGATCACGCTGGCTTGAAGTCCAGAGAGGGGAGATGACCCCTTCAAGGTTACACAATGGTGAAGCCCAGGCCCTCTTTCAGGGCTCCTCGGTCTCCCCCCACCAATCCTGCTCAACCCCCATTGCAGTCGGGCTTTCTCAATGGAAAACCATTTTGATTGGTCTGTGCCTGGGTTTCTGTCTCAGAGGGGCCTCCCAGTTCCCTTTCTCTCCAGACCTGGGGGATACTCCAGGCCTGACAAAGAACCCAGCAGGGTGGACACTGAGGATGCCACAGGCCCACAACGTGGGTGAGCCACCCTGGCTGCTGTTCACCATGTCAGCCAGTTTCAAGCTGGCAGAGGCCTTTTCAGAAAGAGCTCTAACAGGGGAGTGCCCCTTTATTGCCAAGACTTCTCTGTTCTTCCTCTGACAAGTGACCGACCCCACTCCCAGCTGCCAGCCTTGCCCATTCCATTCCCGTGCCCCTTGTGGAGCCGCCAGAGGCTGCATTCAAGTCATGTGCTCATGGCAGCTGTTGCCTTTTGCTAATCAGACCTTCCCAGATCTGAAGGGCAAAGTGTTAGAGCAATTGGGCAGTTCCCAGGGGGCAGGTAGCCTGTGCTCTGGGGAGAAGGTTCCGGGAGTCCTTGCCCTCAGGTAGCACTGATGTCTCCCGCTGAAGCTCTCTCGGTTCTACTAAGTTCTAACTGTGCTGTGAGGAGACAGCACACCCATTCTCTCCCTGCCATGTTCCTGGAGGGACCGCTGTGTCCTCTAGGATGTGGCCACTTGTTGATGGTGTCTGAGAATGACCAATTTATGGCTGTTACATGAATGGTGTTGTTTATGAGAAACTGCTGCCTCCTGGCTATAGAATTTGGTGATTCCTTAATTGTTTGTGTGTAGGATGTCAACAGACAATGTCAGACTGCCCACAGTCTCCTTTAAGGAGCATTCCCTTTGAATTGTAAGAGAGTGGTAAGATTTGGTCATCCTCCGGTTTGTTTTATGCAGAGGCTAACTCTGAATTTTCCTTCATTCCTCAGTGCGTCACTCCTCTCTCATGCAGAGCCAACTAATGGATCATTGGATGAAAACTCAGAGTCACCCTAAGAAAGTGAACTCTAACAGTCAGCATTTTTGTTTGTTTGTAGATGGATGTATTTTGAAGGGTCGCTATGTAAGGAATACCTGGATGGAACAAAAGCACTCACCTGCCAGTCAAAAGGTTGGCGGTTCAGACCCACCCAGAGGCATCTCAGAAGACAGGCGTGATGGTCTGCCTCCAAGAGGTCACAGCCCGGAAACCCTGTGGATCCAGTTCTACTCGGCACATGTGGGATCACCATGAGTCCATGGCAACCACCACCGCAGCAACCTCCCCGCCATGGATCATGTACATGGAATTTTCATCTTAAAATCATTTTCAGGTATAAATGGTATGTAAGAATGGGAACTTGCCTTTAAAAATACATCTTTCACAAGGCAAATTGAGTTGGCAAGTCCTCATGCCTCTGAGTTAAAACAGTCACTATGTCATTTCTAGAACTCTGTCGTTCTAAATCTCTCGTAGATCCTAGACTCAACATTTGGGCGAAACACTTAATCACTTTGCTTCTTAAATCCTTATCCCTCCCTACCCCCCTTCCCCTCTTCCACCAGCGCTCAGTCCCAGAATCAAAATACTGGAGAAGTATTTTGTTAATACACTAAGTATTCAGTAATATTACTGCTGTATTCCAAAAGTATTAGCGCTTAAAGAGCTGCACTTAAAATGTCTTTACACCAGTGATCATTAAAGCACAATGAACAAAGTACCAGGCACTTCTTAACGATGCTGCTAGAATCCACAGAGCCTTGCCTTTGGTGGACAGTAACTAGTGTGCACATTGAGGATAAATCCATGTTGGGCAGTAAATGAACAGCTCCCCCGACAAGCCTCAATCAAGCTCCGAGAATTATACTTAAGAATTATTTGGTGACTGGATATGTGGCCTAGGTAAATGTTAAAAATTGTTTTATAGTATGGTTATGGGGAACTGGTTAAACACACCATATAAGGCCACCTGGTTCTGGGTTTGCTTAGTTACATCTTAAGTATATGGAGCGTGATTTCTAGCACACACACACAGACATCAAATGTCAAATAAAAATGAAGAAAGTAGATCATTTCAATACCTTTTTATTTGAGTGTGAAACCATTCATATCTTGCACAACTGTACAGATAAAACTATTTCCATTTTAGCTGTAGACATGATTATCACACTGAGTGGTGTGATCAGAGATTTTATTTACAGAATAATAGCGAAAACATCCGGTGACATATTTCCATTTATTTCTTACCCATAGGGTAATAGGTCCACCATAATTGCGTGGTGCATTGTATGATACAGAAAGAAAACCTATGTTAATCTCTAGTAAACCTCACAAATTGCTACAAATCTGACAGGAAAAAAAAATGCCTACGAAAAATTTTTCCAAAAGTACAATACGTTTTTATTTCCACACATACACAGTATAGTATAGGCTCAAAGGCACAGCTTTGAAAAAAAAAAATTTTTTTTTTCTAACAAAGTGTCGGAAATTATTATAGCCTTATGAAGGAACCATTGAGAGCGTTTTCACACTTGGTGCTTGGCAAGTTAAAAGTTTGGCCCATCAGTTTCACAAAGCTAATACAGCAGAGCTGAGGGTGATTCACAATGCCGTAAATCCACATTCTCGCAGAACTTCAAAAACCCCTCTCCTGCCTTTTGCTGACACTAGCTATTGTGCAAACTTAAGAAAAATACTCGTATGTAGAAGAACCGGTCCCCTACAAACCTCAATCAACTTAAGGCGATACAGAACAGGCCTCTTCCTTCTCTCGAGACAGTGCTTCCGTTCCAAGACAATGCAGGTACTGTGACAGACACAAGTCTGGTGGGGGGTGGAGGGGGGTGGGGGGAGGACCTAGACTCTCCCAAGTTCTCTATTTACCCCTGGTGCTCCAGGAAGCAGCAGTGATACCCCCAGGAAGGAGGTATCACAGTGATACCCCCAGGAAGGAGGCATAGAACGTGTCTGAGTAAGCTGACAGACAGATGGCAAGGTGAATGCTCTTGGTAAATTATGTGCCCGTCCAAGAACACACACCAGGTTCTGTCTCCAGGATCCATCCTTTCAAGACTTAAAGAGCTTGTGTCAACAGGAAAATAAGGAGCTTACTGGGAGTGGTTGCCAACACAAAGCAAAGTCATGGAACAGAGTTGGAAAAGGCACGGATCGGCCTGCCCAAGGTAGTGCTTTATAGAAACAGTCAAGTCTGACTTGGCTACAGGAACTCAATCCCGTTGACTTGTGGTGAGCCCTGGTTCTGAACTAAAGTTTATCCATCCCACATTAATCCCAGCTTCACGCTCACATTTGGGAAAATGCACACCTAGGAAGAGTCCGCGAGTTACAATGTGTACAGATAAAAGTCTTTTGGGGGGTTGG